TAAGTTTATCGTTAAGTAAAGTAACATTCCCCATTTCCTCTTCTCCATTAAAAACCATATACTCCGTCTTCTCTCTACTGACCTTAAGTCCTCTGTCCTCCATCGCTCTCCTCCATCTCTCCAATTTCTGGTCTACTGAAATATCACTGATTTATATTTATAGTTAAGACAAATAAAACTCTTACACAAAACGAAATGTGATATCTCAAGTTAAAACATCAACGCTTTAGTTTCAGATACCAAAATTTCTAATTCAACAGTAAATGTTTCCCTTTGATATATTGTGTATGTTTCAAACTAAATAATACAGGTGATTGAAACGTTTCTGTCATGTTAATAATACAGGTGTTTGAAACGTTTCTGTGACGTTTCAGATACGAATGGTGGTTTGTCCATCTACGTGCTTTAAATTGAGGCATCAAGAATTTTCAGAGGAGTCTCAAATTTTGAAGCAAAAACGTATTGTTAAAAATAAAAGCATATAATTCAGAGTTAATTTTTTTTCTCTTAAATTATCATTAACTACAATATCATCTAACGTTTGACTTACTTTGATGGTATCTTCCTTAGACATAAACTACTTATAATTTACTTGAACCAATAACAAAAATAAATTTGTAAATTTTAGTCACCAAAACTATAAAGTTTGGTGAAAAAAAACAACAAAAAACATTGCAACTCATCTATCTTTAACTTCGCCTCTTATCATTGAGGTATCCCTGATGTCTAGAATTCTACCCTTCATCAGCAACCTTGGATAAAAAGGAAATAAAAAACAAAGCTAGAACTTTTGAAGGGGAGGTTTGTACATTAAGTTTATGGTGCTTAAGTTATCCCTTATTTGTAGGAGAGATTGTCCCTTATTCCCTTAAAATATTTTTGATAATATTTTAGCAGAAAGAGTATACCATGCCCATCTTTCGTTTTGTATATGAGCAGCAAACTGGTTGAAATAAAAGAACTGTAGATGTAATTTTTTTTATATTCCAAGTCATTAAGTAGTTATCTGCGTCAATTTTACAGTCTAACAACACTTTTGAAAAACCTGGGGCTCGATTCCCCACGGTAAACAGAGTGCATGTAGCCCCTTATTTGGGTTTACACTAAGAAAATAAGAACTAAATATTTAAAAGTATAATTTACGTATATTACCACTAAAACTTTTTGTTCAAAGCTACAAGTAAACTTTTATGAATTTAGTTTTCAAGTAAAATTAGGTAGATTATCGTGATGTCCACGTGTATATTTGTTTCTATATATCAAATATTTAATTATATCTTTTTATCGAGCTAAGGATAATCATCCAATAAGATATCCTCAAAAACACAAATATTAATGTCTTAAATCAAAATACGTGTTTATCTCCAGTTGAGACTTAATGTATTTGTCCATAACTTATACTAAAATACAAAGTAAAACTTTTTGTATTGACCAGTAATTTGTGTGACATGCTATAAACCTGAACAAAAACAAATCAAAGATCCAAATAAGCTATATTGTAGTGGGAAACAATAGTAGGTATGATGTTTGACTTTTTTAGCCATCAACCCTATTCACTGGATCTCTTACTAAAGTTTCCAATTCGATGGTGCAGCTAAGAAATAGAGAAATCAAATAATAGTAAGTATACTGGGTGAAAATGACTTTTGAAAATAAAATTGGAAAGAGTTTAATGGAAAATAATAATATTAACATAAAATAAGATTGTATATATATATATATGTAAAATGTTAAATATTACTGACTTAAACAATACAAGTAGTAGAAAAAGACATTAAACTTCATGTATACTCACCTGAATCCCAAGTAGGACACAGAGATACCAACGAGGAGTTTCATCCACCTTGTATAAGATGTCACCCTTGACTCTGCCTTCGTCTTTGATGTCCACAATAGAAACCTACACGTTGAGAGATAATGGATGGTAAAAAGATAGACAACTAAATGATATATCACTTACTTAATGTAAACTTACATTTCTCAAGGTATGTTTGGTGTTTGTTTAATTATTTCCTCTTCGATCCTCATATTCCCTCATATTTACACTGAAAGCCTTTCTCTGGGTATATCACATTAAATGAGGAGTAGGATAGGGTAGCAGAATTTCTGTCTTTATAAATGCGTTGTTTGTATAATAAGTAAATTTTCATTGAGATCTTAATATATTATTAAGAACAAAATAAAATAAATTGATGTATGTAACTCTTTCTTTTATGTTGCTATATGTTTGGTTTGAGATTCTTATTAGCAAGTCTGTGTAATATGCGTTATTTGTCCTGTAAATATTGCATAATATTATAAATGACATTTACCAACCTCCCAGTGGCTCAGAGGTAACTCTAGAAGTTTAGGCAGAACGATTATTCGTTCACACCCTCAGTCTCTGGAATCTAAGTCTAATGACAGAAATCTGTCCACTCAACCAAGAGCAGGATCCATGGAGATCGATAGACCTCCTTCTAGTAAGAAAAACGGCGAGGTCGTAAATAGAAGGGTTCTCCACCCAGTTCTCCTCCATCTACGTAAAAATGGCCACTTTGTTACAGTGGAACTGTCGAGATTTTCGTTCTAATCTCGATGCCATTAAAGCTTTGATCAATTCCTATCATCAATTGTGTCTTTCCTTACAGGAAACATTCCTGAAACCTGCCAATACGATAGAAATACAGAAGATAGTTTGGCTTGTCAACTGAAATTCTAAAGTAATTGAATGGGCCTAAGTGGATATTTGACAAGAGGAGTATTTATGATATATCCATAATATTTATAGTGTTGAAGAATTCGTTGTACATACGTTAACTTGTTATGAATATATATTTTATTTGGAAAACAAGTGAAGTGCGAGCTGTTTATTCATCGTTGAATTTATCGCTAACAAGTCTTGTAGAAGAATCCTAAGCCAAACAACATCATAGTGTATAATTATACTATTAAGAAATACAAGTAAAAGCCTATTATTTTGACAGTTGGCAAAAAGAAGAATCTATATTTTTAAATTCTGACACCAAGTATTAGTCTGGAGTTATTATAATGTTAAGCTAATTTTTGTGAGAGCTTGTAAAACTAACGTATTAAGAAATTTTTTGAGAGACTATAACATATCTGAAAATATGTTTTGCAACATTTTCTTATTGTAATATTATTCAATACTCTATAATCTTCTAGTTGTTGTATTTTTTTATATTTTTCCTTTCTAAAATATTGACAAACTAAAAACAACTAATGAATCTGTTGCGACATCTCTATATCAAGTTTCTTACCTTTGGCTCATCGACTTCATCCTGAATTTCGTTTTCTACGACGTCTCTTTCTATCTACGTGTAAAGATATATACATATACATGTTAATATCCAAAATTGAAACAATTCTGGTTTCGTTCTGCTCATCCTCACAGCTGTTTATATTTAAACAGGCTATTCTTGGTACTGACAGTGGATATTCGACTTTCAGTTGTTTATTAAGAGGTGCATGTCCAACTCATGAATAGCCAATCTTATTTCGATATAATTAATCACCTGCTTGTTTTAACTTAAGGTAAAAATTTTGAGCACACACAAATTAAACACCTAGAACATTTTTCAAACATTTATTCCTCACGTTTTATGTTCATTGTATGTATAGTGTCTAATTAACCTTTCTTTTAAGAGATTTGGCTTTATAGGAAGACATTTATAGCTCGTTGGACCTGTTCGATTCGAACATTTAAAACAAATATTAAAATTTAGTGAATGTTGTTTAGGCTATTAAAACAAAAGTGTAAAGTGGCCAGGTGGTTAGGGTGCTCGACTCGCAATCTGTGGGACGCGGGTTCGAATCCTCGTCCCACCAAACATGCTCACCCTTTCACCCGGGGGGGGGGCGTTATAATGTGACGGTCAATCCCACTATTCGTTGGTAAAAGAGTAGCCCAAGAGTTGGCGGTTGGTGGTGATGCCTATCTGCCTTCCCTCTAGTCGTACACTGCTAAATTAGGGACGGCTAGCGCAGACAGCCCTCGTGTAGCTTTGCGCGAAATTAAAAAACAAACAAACTTTTATTTTGTCAAGCTGTATATAGTCTGTTTCTAAGATACATCGTGATTAAACCAACGAATTAAACCAACAAAGCAGTCAGTATAGTCGAATAAGTATACTTTTTTACGTTCTTACTTATAAAAATTGGAACGCATTGTTTCGTCGGTTGGGTATCTTCGCTGTTAACAATATATTTGGCCAAATAATGTTCAGTAACGTTCATAGCATTTTTATTATAAATTAAAACATTGCTTAAGTAACTTTACAGGATCAGTAGTCCCAACATTATTTATGGTAAAAACAATCTGAAGACTGTTAATGTTAATTAATATACGTTGTTGTAAAGACGCAGAAAAATTGGTATATACAGTAGATTTTAATTTTCATAATAATTTACATTTTGTAGTTTTTAATTGAATTTATTTTTGTTTTGATTTTTGGAAAATATAAATCACTAGAACAAAATGCGATGATAGCAGTTGAAATGTCAGCACTTTGTAAACTAACCATGGTATATGCTACAAAACCCATGAATTAGAATTTCGTTCATAATTACCTAATGAATATTAGAATTATTTTTAGAAAAGCTTTATAAATTTCTTAATCGACCATGACAGTAGTATTTTATAAAATAACAAGTAAACATTATTAAAGAAAAAAATAAGGAAAAATGTATATACAAACACAGAGTGGATTATATCATACCAAGGCATATAGAAATAGTAAAAAATAACAATAGTAACATAAATAAAACAGATCACCCAAGCACATATATATGTATTACTATACAGAAGTTGTACTTGAAAATTTTCCCCGAAAGTATTTTATTCTAGAAGATAATAAGCCCTTTGAATCATATTCCATGCCTGAAGTATAACGGCTTCTTAAATACTTTGAAGTTTATTCGAAAAATCTGATTTAATGCGAAATTGTCGTGAGACACAAGAATTTTTACTGAATTTCTAATAAAGCTCTTTTTTTTCAAGACGATCACCATGGCGCATCACTTTCAGCGAATCAAATAGTAACTATAGTCTGTTTTAGTCTGTTTATAATACATATCGAGATGCATTGTCTATTCTATTGTTTTAAGCCTTGAAAGCCCATTTCTCATATTCTTTAGCTAACGTACATTTTAACAACTAGAATCATTTTTCTTTTTTTCATTTATGTAATCAGTGACGAGTGCCACTCAAGGTGGATTCCTGTACCTGGTGAGGGGACCTCCCAGGAAAGGTTCTGTATTTTCAGTTACATCCTCTGGGATTTGAACATCCACCCACGTGTTTGCCGTGCGTGGCGACCCGTGAAGGGGAGGAGAGAATCCTGGTGGTTGAGTGGTGTCTGAGGCACTGCAACACACCACTTTCGCCTTGAATTCTTGTAGACAGGTAGCCTTGGGGTAAACCCCCCAGGGTCAATCAGCTGGTCCTGTTGGGCGAGGGTGTTGTGGACACCACGTCTGATGCTGGTGTTTGGATATAGTGCTCACAAAACCCTGGCGTTGCTGCAGTGTCCTTGTTTGACATTGTAGTGCATCCCCTCGTAGGACCCCATGGTGGGTGGGGTCAGTGACCACTGAATCTTTCTTCTTATATTATGCATCCCCCAAATCCTATTAAAAATAGTAAAAACTCTGCTGATTGGTAAACGACCACGCCTTGAAAACTCTGAACTGCATTCTCTACCCCATTTTGCACCTTTACCTCATTTTCTTATCATGCATTCTTTGTCAGAAAAACCTTTAGGGCAATTGTATCCCTTTTTTTTATTCAAAAGGGATTAGAGGGGCTTGCTGGCTCTCGAAAGTCAGTTAATAAGCTACGTTATTGTTCCATACTCCATCTTGGACAAATGCCCCTGCACTACGCTCCACTGCTATGGTGGGAGTGCAGACGAACCTTTCTGTGCCTCCATCAGAGTATTTTTCTCATCATATGAGGGGTCTTTTGCCCTCAATGGATAACTGAGTGGATACGTCAATGTCTACTCCTATCTCTTTCCCCACTATTGCTTCCGGTGACTGTCCAGGTCCATCTTCTTTGGCCCAGGCCTTTGGTGTCCACTCGGGTCCATCTTCTTCAGCCATGAGATGGAGAAAAATTATTTGTTCACGCCCTCAGTCACTAGAATCTAAGTCTAATGACAGAGATCTGCCCACTCGACCAAGAGCTGGATCCATGAAGGTCGATAAGTCCTTCTTGTCTGTGTCATTCGATACACCCTTGGAGGCCATAGCCATCTGTGTTTGTTTGGGTTATACAATCACTGTTTATTCTCTCTACCTGTCTCCTGGAGAGACTTATGATCAATCAGACCTTGATGCTCTCATTGAACAGTTGCCATCTCCCTTTTTAATCCTGGAAGACTTTAATAGACACAATCCCTTCTGAGATGGTGCTGATATTGATGGGAATGGTCGTTCTGTAGAGCATATGCTCTCCGATCACAACCTTTCTCTCTTCAAAACTGGTTCTTATACTTATTTTATGCACCTAGTCAGTCTTTTACTACCATTGATCTATCGATCTGCTCCCCTTCACTTTTCTCTCGCTTTTTTTGGAGGGTTGACAATGACCCATGGGGCAGTGATCATTTTCCTATAGTTTTGAGGGAGATTGGTCGTGGTCGATGCCACCCGACCAGAGTACCATGGTGGAAGTTGGACCAGGCTGACTGGCCGTCTTTCACGAATATCTTGGAACTTGATCCTGCTGTCGTCTGTCTGTCATCAATAGATGACTGCACAGTAGCAGTGACTGACTGTATTATCCAAGCATTTGCTCACTCTATTCCTAAGACCTCTATACATTTTCCATGGTGGAATCCTGCCTACTAGGAGGCATGGAAGGCTCAAAAACGAGCCTGGGATATCTTCTGACATTATCCATCTCTTTCTAACTGCATAGTTTATCAGTGGGACCATGCCCACGCTCGACAGGTTCGACGTCAAAGCCAAAAGCAATCTTGGATTAAGTTCACTACTAGACATGACAACACTCTACCATGGACCACCTGCTTTTACTTGAAACGTCGATCAGGGAAGCCTTCCTCAATAGGGAACATCTTGTTTCCATATTATTTGATCTTGAGGAGGCTTACAACACTATGTGGAGGTACGGAATTTTGTGGTACCTCCATTCATATGGGTTGCGTGGCCATTTACCCATTTTTATTCAGAACGTTTTACTGGACAGGTGATTCCAAGTCTGTGTGCATTCAACTCTTTCCAGTTCTCTTCCACAGGAACTTGGAGTCTCTCAGGGCTGTGTCTTGAGTGTCACAATTTTTAGTATAACGTTAATGCTATCACTACACAACTTTCTCCTACTGTTGCAAACAGACTCTATTTCGACGACTTCTACATCTTATGCCAGTTGTCAAATAGGAGGTTTATTGAGTGGCAACTTGAAACTGCCCTCAATCGCTTGTTGAAGTGGACCACAGGAAACGGTTTCACATTTTCTTTTTTTCAGAACCATTTACATGCATTTTTGCCACCAACTGAGTTTACACCCTGATCCTGAACTCTGTCTCAGTTATGTTGTTCTTCTCAGGGTCCCTGAGGCTAAGTTCTTGGGGCTGATTCTTTACCATAAGCTTACTTTCATTCCACACATGAAACAGCTATGTGTCAAGTGTATGAGAGCACTGAACACCCACCTCTTGGAGAGCAGATTGATGTTCTATGCTCAAGATCTATTGTGCCCTCAATCGATCCAAACTGGACTATGGATCTTTGGTCTATGGTTCTGGCAGAACCTCGGCCTTGAAGATGCTGTGGCTGGGTAATTGCTCGCAGGATCCCCTCTACATTTCTGTATTCACTGCCAAGTTGTATGTTATTTCTCTTGCTCTTGATCATGTAGAAGTTATGCAGTACAGCAATTGTGCCATTTACACTGATTCTCTTAGCTCTCTACTTGCCCTGGAATCCCTTAACGTTAGTTCTCACCCTGTTCTAGTCGATATTCAACAACGACTGGCCCATTTTCCTCTGTCTTGTGTTTCCATCCGGTTTTTCTGGATACCTGGCCACGTCCTATTCGCGGGAACGAGCTCACTGACACCACAGCTAAGTCCGTCTGCCTGTCCCATACATGGACTACGGTCCTGTATTCAAGGCGCGGCTTCTCGTCAGTTGGCAGTCGACTTGGTGTGAGCAACGTTATAACAAGCTTTTCCAGATCAAACCTTCTGTTCTTCTTTGGCCGTCTTGTTTCCGTCAGGATCGGAAGGAGGAAGTTGTCCTGGCAAGGCTACGCATTGGTCACAGTTTTTTAATTCATCGTTTTCTTTTATCTGGTACTGACCTACCAATGTGTAGCCTTTGTGACACTCAAGTCACAATAGCCCACATTTTACTGTCGTGCCGTCGTTACGACCGTGAGTGGCGGCACCATTGAGACATCTCTAGTCTACGAGTTTACCCCTGATGTTGTACGATGTCATTGGCGATGGTGACACTGTCCAACTTGATATTTTTAATTTTTTAAGAAGAATTGGCCTTTTTGATTCTATTTTAATCTTTTATGTGAATTTTGAACATATTTTAGTTTTAACTCAATTTCTTATTACATTTTACAACAATTTTACTTTTACTGTTTTTCCCGGTTGTTTGCGCCATAAAACGCCAAACAATCAAGCAACCAGTGACGAGCGTGGTCGCCCGAATTGATCACTTTTTGATTAAGTTCAAGGTCTGAAGATCCTGCGGTGATGATAGAGAAATCGTTAAATGAAATATTGTGACCTGTGGTTTCAGAATATGAGCGAATACATGAGTGGCTGGGTTTAATTAGTGGATGGTTGGTTCTGTTAGATACTGCTAAATGTTCACAGACTAGTTTTTAAGTGACGTTTCATTTTGCCAATGTACGTGACCCTACAGTCACCACACGTATATTTATTTATACACGATCCATGAAAGTAGAAGTATAGGTTCTTGATCTTTGAACTGAAAGAAGTGTTTAATACGGAAGTTAAGTCTGAATATTATTTTAAGCTGAATTTGAAGGTAGAAGTCTTTTATTAGGGAAGAGAGTTGTTTTTTTAATTGGTAGGGATTGCGAACCCGTAAAAGGAAGGGAGATAATGAGGGGTAATTTGGGGACGGTGTGTACATTGGCTGGTGGTTGGAATTTGTTGTTTAGGAAATTGTGTGTAATCTTCGTTAGAAAATCAATCGGATAGCCATTATTTAACATGTGTTTATGTAGAAGGGTAATTCCTTCGTGTAAAATAAAATACTGATAGCTAAAGACCGCCCGACCCTTAACGACTCGCAAAGCTCTTTAGATCTAAAATTGTTATAAATTTTCACACTTAATTCAGCTGTTGTGTAATATATATATATATGTATATATAAACATTGTTTTATCCATCCATTTTACGCTTTTCTTAATAACTAAATAAACTAATGATTATATTATTATATTATAATTTTAATAATAATCATCTTTGTAACATTATTTTCAGATTTTGCTGAAAATGGAAAAAATTATTCCGAAACGTTCGATCCTTGTAAATAAAATGTTTTATATTTTGTCAACCGTCTTCATCTATATTATTAAACTTCGGTTTCCCCATCATGAATCCATTGCTAGCATTATACCAGATGTTGTAAGTTCCTGACAGAATTCTGACAATATCTGGACTTTTCACTTTCTGTGTAAGCTTGCTTGGTTATCAAGTCAATCAAATGTTTTATATAGAAATCTTGCTTTTGATAAGGTCCTAAGGTAGTCTTATAACATATTACATATACGAAATATTTGTAACCCAAAAATATAATGACGTAATACATAGTGACGTAATATAAATCTCGAAGTTGTGTTCTGAATTGAGCTTCGGTCATATTGAAAAGTACAATGTTTATTTCAAACGAATTATCTTCGTCAGTAATCGTTGAAATTTTTACATATCTGAATGCTTAAAGAATGCTTAATCGTTTTTCAACATCCAATATTACTTAACAAAAATCAAGCGATTTTTCTAGAATATTATGCCAATTTTTCCTAAGTATGAAAAAACCAAGTTGGAAAACAATGAAATTTTTTGTAACGATTTCAATTATCTGTACGGTGGATATTGAGTTAATATAATGTTATAAAACAAAATGTTACAGTGTTGTGTAACCCACATAAAGTAATGGTTTAGTACAAGTGACTTTTTATATAAATAAATAAAACTTTCTAAAATTACCTTAAGTTCGTAATCTGGATTGTCCTGCACCATGGTAACAAAGGATTTTTAACATTCACTCCAAGATGTAACAGGTACAGAACTGGATGGGATATATCAAGCACAACTATGAAACTGTGTATAAATGATCCTACCAATCTTAATACACCCGTTGACAGAACTGCTTATACCAGTAATTTGATGCACATGCTTAAGTTGCTGCGTTCTTGAGCCGTAAAGATAGGAGGAAGTGGAAAAACGTAATATCACCGGAAGTGACGAAATTAGCTCTCTCGATGGAACGCTATTATACAAGAAAAACGTTAATTTGTTAGCCCTGTAATTATGTTTAAAGCTGCCTAAAATAACGTAAACATACTTGAAGCAAAAATACAAAGTAACTACTCACAAGAAGTTTCAAATTAAGCAAGATAAAACATAGAACCAATAATGTGAAACGAATCTGGGTTACTCGGATTGTTTAGTTAGGCTTAGAAAATGAAAGGGCCAGGTTGAATGTTAAAATGTGTTTACATCCCTTAATTCTAGATGAAACACATATTTACATAATGTTGGTTCTTTTATCATAGTAGATCTACAAAAATGTTATGCAACGTTTAAATAAATATCACTCCATTTACTGTTTTGATTTTACTTAAACATGTTTATGATCAGATATTAGATACTTTTTAGCTTAGACCATAGGTTTGTTATGCTGGGAAAGGAAAAAAATATGATTTAACAGCAATACCAGCCCTATTCCGTCAAAATAAGCCTCATGACACGTATCTTTCACCCTGTAGTTTTGCAACCGAAAACAGGACTTTAGGAGTCTCGATATATTTATACGAGAGTTCGATTCACCGGTTTTTTTCACACCTGTAAACACATTGGCAAATACCAACAGTAGTCATGCCAGACGAGACCTGACTGTTGTTCGAGTTGGAAAATTCTGAAATAACCAAACCGAGATAAATCGTCGCCAATCAGTGCCAGGTTAAAGAATTTTGGGGCCTTGTACGCTATATTTTTGTAAAAACATAAATTAGTAAAGGACGTACATGTGTTTGTTATTTTCTTTGTGTATTGTCTTTGTAAAACATAAATTACTAAAGGACGTACATGTTTATTGTTAATTTAGGCCGGTTATCATTGTCATATACATCTATTTCTGGAATCTCATTGGGTATATTTTACCCAGTGGTTGGGGGGACGGACCCTCTGAGCTCTGAATCCTGTGTATGCGCTCCGAATGCACATTGGTTAATTGGGGCAAAAATAAAAACAACAACAACAAAAATTAACTTGGCAGGAATTTTGTTTGAAGGAAGAAAGTACAACATGAGAATTGTGAGCTCTTCCCACCAGGGGGTGTTCAAAACAATCGCTCCTCATCGACCCCGCGCGTGTATTTGCTTAACTGCGAGGGACTGTTAGATTTGACGTATAGGATTATATATAACATCGTTGTCTTGTCGGAAAGCCGTGAAGGAGGTCAGAGAAAGCACGATGACCTTAACGTTGAAAGGTTTTCATCTTCTTCATCTTGATTAGTTGGTGTTGATGTTGTGAAGAGACCAAGAAACTAAAGAATGCGGCCGTAGCATCCAGTTCCAACGTAGTTTGCTTAATCTTTTAAATTAATATTAATTACATTTCACGGTTTACGCCAATGGGTATTATGATTATTTCAAGATCAAATATAATTGATATCTTACTGAATTATTATTATTTTATTTGCATTATTATTTCTTTCCTCAGAAAGAAAACCAACGAGGTAGGATGCCCATTTCAGGAGGGGGAGGGGGTTGGGACTAAACGGTCCAATGACCTACTGAATGAATATTGATGTGGGAGAAACCGGAGTACCCAGAGAAAACCCACTTTCATAGTATAGACGCCGAATAATCTATCTGTCGTGTGCACAAACAAACCAAAAAACCTTACATAATCTTCAAACCTCAGTAAGTGTGGGTGATAGGTTACTTTTTGGTTTTTCCTGTTTGCAAAATAGATATGGTGAT